AATGTTACTATTCATTTATCAAATTGTTTATAGACAAGTTCTAATGATAGTATTTATTTATTTATTTTGCAGTAGTGGGGTTTGAACTAGGACCTACACTTTGAGCCACTCCACACCAGCCTTTTTTGTGATGGGTTTTTTTAAGATAGGGTCTCGATAACTATTTTGCCCTAGCCGGCTTCAAACCAACAATCCTCCTGATGTCTGTCTCTGAGTAGCTAGGATTACAGGCATGAGTCACTGGCACCCAGTTTGTTTTCTTTTCTTTTTATTTTAATGGTGCCAAGGATTGAACCCAGGGCCTCTGCTTGTAGGCAAGTGCTCTATTACTAAGCCACATCCCCAGCTCTACACTGCAGTTTTACATTGCTATTAAATACATAGGAAAAGCTGTGGTTTCTTTAGGTAAATGGAAACAGTAAGAAAGTAATGTCTTTTACCACCAGTTACAGTACTAAATTGACTTGAGACAATCCACAAAAGTGGCCCTGTAGCAGGTGGCAGGCATAGGTATGGTTTGACCCCTGTTCACAAATATGAAGACAATAACAACAACCTACTGTCTTTGAGTAAGAGACAACACCACTGTGTTGCAGAGTACTGCTGAGCCATCAGAAGGAAAGAACCAGAGCCATACATGTGAGCACAGATACCTTGTCACCAATGATGGGGAGAAAAGCAAGTCCTGAGAGGCTTTAGAGCACAGGGGACTTCTACATAGAGTTGTCCACAGCAAGTGAGGTGGATTGTGGTGGTTAGGGGTATGGAAATACACACAAAAGTAAAAAGTAAGATTTTTTTGAAAAGATGTTCAAAGCCAACTTATGTCTTCATTTCCCTTCACAATTGAATGGTGTGACGAAGGCTGAGAAGTCTAGATGTTGTTCCACTACAGTATGTAAACCTAGAGGTCATGCCCTCAGAGCTGTAGGGTGCAGTCTCACATTGGTGAAGTGGCGGTCTTGCTTTCAGTCTATGTTTTAGGCATAGAAGGGGTTAAAGTGTGTCAGTCCTCATGATCAGGCCAGGCGAGACATATGGCTGATATCTGGCCTCAGGCAGGACTTACCTAGCATCACACTAACCTTGTGTTTGGCCTTAGGTTCAGAAAAGCCTGTGGTTCCGGAGGGACGGTGCAGACATCCACTCCGAGCTATTTATTTCCATAGCTCAGGCTATCCTTGGGGGGACAGCAAGAGCCCAGGGCCTGTACGAGACAATCAATGTGACGGTAAGAGAGTGTGAGGACATCTTTGCCATCCTGGTATTTCATTGCTCTTTGTTGAATGGGAAATAGAATTTGTTAGTGTCTAGCTTGTTGGGGATTCTGAGGGAAGAGGTCTGGAGGTGGGGCGGGGCTAGTAGTTTTAAGTTGTTCCTTGGGTGAATAGCTTCCCAGTGCCTACCTGCACCTCTCAACCTGCCTCAGACCCCATCACTGTTTGCATGTACCTTGGGGCCTTCTCCGCCTCTGGATGTGGGGACTTTGGGGTGACCTCCAGCTATAGAGACATGGTGCTGTGTGCATGCTCCTGCCTTCCACCCAGAGGCTGTCTCTCCTCCATAGTTCATGGCATCCAGCTCCAGAGCAAACTCAGCCTGGACTATGTCAGTTTTCTTTGCTCCCAGGTCTTACGCTTTACCCTCACTTCTGCTTCCTGAATTCATGACTCCAGACAACTCTTACCAAGTCCTAGTTGCAGGCTCTGGCCCAGGCAGATCCCAACTCAGTCATAGTTCACATGGTTGCTGGCAGGCTTGAGCCACACGCCCAAATATAAGTCCTGTTTTTTGAGGATCCCTTGCAAGGTCTTTTTTTTTTTTTTTTTTTTTTGTGGCACTGAGGTTTAAAATCAAGGTTTCATGCTTGCTAGGCAGGTGTTCTACTGCTTGAACCATGCTCCTTAGCCCTTCTTGCTTTTTGCTCTGGTTATTTGGAAGATAGGATCTCACTTTTTGCCCAGGCCCACCTGGACTGTGATCCTCCTATTTTGCGCTTCCCATTGTTGCTGGGATGACAAGCACACGCCATAATGCTTCAGCTTTTTTTAAGATGCCGTCTTGCGACTTTTTTTTTTTTTTTTGGCTGGGACTGACCTGGAACCTCATCAGCTTCCCAAGTAGTTAAGATTACAGGTACGAGCCATGGGCACCCAGCTTTAGGATAATCTCTATGTAGTGAATGGGCCAGTGGGAACCAGGGAACACACTGCTTTCTTTCTCTATAGATCCCCCCTGGGATTCAAACAGACCAGAAGATTCGCTTGAGTGGGAAAGGCATTCCAGGATTAACATACGGCTACGGTGACCACTACATTCACATCAAGATCAGAGTTCCAAAGTAAGTGCCCACATGGGCCTTGGCCAAAGCCTGCCAGACCCTGTATACTCTGGTCCCACTGAGCAGGCTCTAGTCCAGTAGTTCATGGGCCCTGTGAGCTCTTGGCAGGTCCCTTCTCCTTAGGTCAGATGTGGCTAGCCTATGTTTCCCATCTGTGAAGTGGACATGACAGAGATCACGTCAATGAATGGAGGGAGAATGCTCAGCTAGTATGATGTTGCTCTGGGCAGAATGCTGTGGCACCCAGGGCAGGTTGGCTTCTCGTGAGGCTAGTTTCCAGCACTTGTCCTTTTCATGAGATTAATTAGTTTCTCACTTGCTGCTTTGTACACGTGCTCGTGTGTCCTCCCCATCTCCCTCCCCTCCCCCAACTGTATCAAACACAGCCATGGTGACAATTGTTAAACATCTTGGGGTATTTCAGAGCTTTGAGGGTGTGGCCCTCAGGTTCTCACCACTGGCTCCAGATTGTCCCTGCTTGGGTTGGGAACTTAGCTGCATGTGTGTCCTTCAGATAGCTACCTGGGGAAGCGCTGAGCCAGAACTGTGCTTGGTCCATAGGAGGCTGACCAGCGGCAACAGAGCCTGATTTCTGAGTTATCGCTGAGGATGAAACTGACGTGGAGGGTACGGTGAATGGTGTCACACAAACAAGCACTGGTAAGAGGTTTGGACATGACATGGCGGTATGAGGGGCCTCTGGGTCTTTTGGAGGGTGGACAATTTGGAGCATGTTTGAGTTTCCAGTCAGGTCTTCATGAAGCCCCTAAAAACCACTGTTGATAGGGGGAACTGTGGGCAGGAACAGCTGAAGTGGAGCCTCAGCCTCCAGTGAAAGCGTCTGTCCCTTTCTCTGCATGTGCTTCTGCCCTGACAGTTCTGTATCTCAAAGTGGGTGTTCTGAGTTCTAGCCTTGGTTCTGCCACTTGCCTTGTGACTTCAGGCACTTCCCTCCATGAGAGCTCCCTGTAACTGTAAGAAAGAGATGAATTGGATGGGTTTGTGTGTTCCCAACCCTAAATGCTTTCCCAGAATTCCAAAGTAAACAATAGTACCCATAGTGTAAAAACTGTATTGGAGGACTCTGACTGCCTTCTGTGTGCTGGGATTACAGGTGCATACCACTATGCCTGGCCTCAGTTGTTTAAAATCCTCTCTGATAGCTTAAGTTGAGAGTTATTGTCACCTTATGAGCATGCTTGGAACCATTGTTAATGTTTGTGGTTCTTTGTCCCAGTGGCCAGCTCCCTCACTCAACCAGGATTTATTGGGAGCCTCCTGTGTGCCAGACACCTTGTCAGCTCATCGTTTTTTGGTGTTTTTTTTTTTTTTTCTTCCCAGTACTGGGGTTTGAACTTGGGTTTTGTACTGTTGCACTTACTAGGCAGGCTCTCTACTGCTTGAACCATGCCCCCATCTCTTTTTGCTTTGGTTATTTTTGAGGTAGGATCTCACATTTATGCCCAGGCCAGTCTGGACCAAGATCCTCCTATTTACATTTCTTCTGTAGTTGGGGTGGCAGGTGTGTGTGCCACCATGCCCAGGCAGCTCTTCCTTTTGAAATTATTTTTTTGCTTTTCTTTGCTATACTAGAGTTTAAACTTGAGTCTTGAGCTTGCTGAGCAGGCCCTGTACCACCACTTGGCCATTTCCCTACCTCTGTTTTTTCTTTTTTGATGGAAGTGGAGTTTGAACTCAGGGCCTTGCACTTGCAAAACAGGTACTCTACCAATTGAGCCCTGCCTCCAATACATTTTTGCTTTGGTTATTTTGGAGAGGGGGGTCTCGTGAATTATTTGCCTGGGCTGGCCTTGAACCACAGTGCTCCTAATTGCAGCCTCTCATGTAGCTAGAATTACAGGCATGAGCCACTGATGCCTGGCTAGCCCTGAAATTTATTTATTTATTTATTTTGGTGGTACTGGGATTTGAACTCATAGCCTCATGCTTGCTATACAGACACTCTACCATTTGAGCCACTCCACCAGCCCCTAAAATTCTTTTTTCTATTTCTTTTTGCAGTACTGGGGCTTGAACTCAGGGCCTACACTTTGAGCCACTCCACCAGCCCTATTTTTGTGAAGCGAACTATTTGCCCAGGCTGGCTTCGAACTTCAATCTTCCTGACTCTGCCTTCTGAGTAGCTAGGATTATAGGCGTGAGCCACCAGCACCTGGCTTCCCTGAAATTCTTTTTTTTTTTTTTTTTTTTTTTTTTTGGCTTTTTTTTTTTTTCTTTTCCCTGAAATTCTTAATGACATAATTAATGATTATAGTTTAACCTTATTATATGCATTGGGTGATTCTCTGAAAAGTTGCTTATAATGTGAAAGGGGCATACCAAATTATACTTCCTACTCACTTCTGTCATTTTCACAATTACATTTCAGTGGGAAATTTGGCTTTCAGACATAATTTTATAAATGGCACTTAAGAATCTAAAGAGTTGGCTTTGAAGAATATGCAGTCTGCTACCTGGGTGTGGGTAAGCCTCTGTGCAGGCTATAAGAAAGTTACTTTTGCAATCCATGTAAAAATACTACACTGCATATAATTCCCATTTCCAGGCAGGATTTTTTTTTTTTTTTTTTTTTTTTTTTTTTTTCCATACTGAGTTTGAAACAGCCCACTCCACCTTGAGCCACTCCACCAGCCCTTTTTTGTGATGGGTTTTTTTGAGATAGGGTCTCACGAACTATTTGCCCAGGCTGGCTTCCAACTGTGATCCTCCTGATCTCTGCCTCATAAGTAGCTAGGATTACAGGCATGAGCCACCAGTACCTGGCTTAGGTTTTATTTTTTTAAGTAGACCCTGAGTCTCCTTTATCTGAAGCATTCATCAGTTTTGCTAGAAGCAGTTTGCATTCGCTTAGCAGTGGTTCATGGAGGTAAAGATCTACTCTGTGTGTATGTATATATACTAGGGATCAACCATCTAAGCAAGAACCCTACTACTAAGCCACATCTCTATTCGTCATGTCACTTTTTTTTTTTTTTTTTTTTTTTTTTTGTGTGACTGGGGTTTGAATTTAGGGCTTTGTACTTACAAAGCAGGAGCTCTATCACTTGAGTTACATTTCCAGTCCAATTTTGTCTGGTTATTGTTAGAGATGGGGTCTCTTGAACTTCTTTACTGGGCTGGCCTTGAACCTCAGTCCTCTTGATCTCAGCCTCAAGTAGCTAGGATTACAGGTATGAGCCACCGGTGCCTGGCCTCATGTCACTTTTCAATAGCTTTCTAGGGGTGGGAATGTTGCTCAGTGGTAGAACATTTGCCTACTGTGCATGAAGCCCTTTTTGATTCCCAGCACTGTGCCTTCTAAGTACATGTGAGTTAGAGCATCATTAGCAACTGGTAAAAGCTGCTTGCAGGTACAGATGGATTCCTGAGTGTCTTTGAAGATGTGCTTTCATCACAGGAAAAGTGTATATGGAAGGCAATTGTAATATATACAGTATTTATAACTAAAGCCTAAACAAACAACCTAAAGCTTTTGTTTTAGTCTTGGTGGTGGCATTGAACCCAGGGTCTTCTGCACTGTAAGATGTGCTCTGTATACCCCAACTTAAAGTTAGTGTTTTTGATTTTGTATTTTTATGGGGGGTGGTACTGGGGTTTGAACTCAGGGTTTCACATTTGTGAAGCAGGTGCTCTACCCTTGATCCATGCCACTAGCCTGTTTTTGTTTTTTTTTAAGTTATTTATTTATTTATTGGCCTCACACTTGCCACTCCACCAGTCCTTTAAGTTATTTTTCAGATAAGGTCTCATGCTTTTACCCAAACTGGCTTCAGATAGCAGTCTTCCTACTTCCACCTCAGTGGAGCTGGAATTATAGGTCTGTACCACCACACCTGACTTGTTTTTGAGATAGTGTCTGACTAACTTTTTGCCCCAACTGGCCTTGAGCCAAATAGCTGGGATTATAGGTGTGTTTTTGCTGGGTTTAGTATCTCTTATTTATTTTTGTTTCCTAATGCAGCTGCTGAAAACCTTAGTAGCCAGCCTTAGTTATTTTCTTAGCCTGTGAGCAATAAAGACCATATAGGGTACTTGGGGGACTATTACCCCCCTCAGGTGTCACTGGTACATCTTCTGGCAAAAGACAGGGATTTGGGACAGTTTGCAGTTACTCGGTGACTTTTTGATTTAGGCTGAACAAGCATTGACAAAAGCTTCACCTGCAGATGAGTGTTTGACCTTTCCTCTGACAGTAGGAGCTATGTGTTATTGGAGAAAAACAGGGTCCTAAACACTGATGTAGATTCCTGAAATAGGTGTCATATTTGTTTTTTCTTCCCCTGATCACCTCATATGCAGCCATCCAACAGCTCTGATGTTGAAGCTCTGACCACAGTAAATTAGAACATAACCTCTTTGTGTCCCTGGTGCTTCACCCAGTGCCTGGCACAAGGCTGGCTCACAGTAACATCAGCTTAGTTTATTTGAATCTGTTTTCCTCACCAGAGGCTAGGAAGTGCTCTGAAGAATCCCTTATTCAGTAGGCCTTACATGGTCTTTTGGAAGGAGTTCTGGACCTTTAGCTTGTCCCCTGACTACGATTGGCTGAGCAGCTTCCCTCCTGGCTGTGCTTACTCTCTGAAGTAACAGAGCTTGGAAGCTCTGATGGTGCCCTGGAGCAGTTCCTGTTTATTCTGAAATCCATACAGTGTGCTCGAGCCTTATTTAAAGAAGCTTTGGGGCTGGGCACCAGTGGCTAATACCTGCAGTCCCAGCTACTCAGGAGGCAGAGATCAGGAGAATAGCAGTTCGAAGCCAGCCCAGGCAAATAGTTCAACAGATCCTATCTAAAAAACCCAACACAAAAAGGGCTGGCAGAGTGGCTCAAGTGGTAGAGCACTTGCTTTACAAGTGTGAGACTCTGAGTTCAAAACTTCAATTCTGTCTCCACCCCCTGCCAGGAAAAAACAAAAACAAAAACAGGAGCTTTGGAAGGCAGGTGCCCACATTGTGTGCCCAGGACATTCTACAAGAACTTCCTTC